GTGCCATGTTGCTATCTAGCCACTCCCTAATTCAGAAGGCTTTATTTGGCTTTTTCCTTGTTGAAGCTAATGGTATATCAATCTCAAGTGACCCTCCGACTCCTTCCACCATGAATTAAACATTTCCCCTTCTTCTCTGTGGAAGGGCAGGGGAAGTTAAATTATTATTTTTGCCTGCACTAGACAATCGCCAATGATCGCTTAAGATAACTTAATCACTGAGGACCACTTAGATTATTTTTTTTCTTTGCCTTGTGTGTAGTGCCAATTGAGAAACTGCCTGCAGTCATGATTTCAATTGCCAGTTCACACAAAGGCAAAAGGATTAAAAAAAACCAATTAGTTTAAGTGATTCCATGCAACAGTAATGGTTTAACAGAATTTTTTTAAAAAAACATTTTTTTCACTTTCCCTGCCACTCTGTGGAAGAGCAGAAGTTTTCAGTTTGCCAATATCCTGAAGTGGCTCACTTAAAGATATTTAAACCAGAAACTTTGGTAGCTTTGACAGCTGCATGACTCAATTTTAGTTTGTTCCCAGTGATCACACACACAGAGAATGGACTAAACTGGGGAGTGCAACAGCCTGCACCAAAAAAAGATGACCCAGACAGGATCTGAAAAAGATGTAGGTAGGGGTGCTCTGGAGACAAATTGGTCCATTCTAGCGATTACATTGAGTGATTAGTGGAAAACCAATCTGCCCCCTCAAACAATGGGGCAAATGGCCATCTAAATGAGCTCTAGGTTTGTATATGTTCCTGTGTTTCTGGCTGTTCTTATGTTTCTGATATCTTCCCTCCATCGTCCACTGAATGTTATGATATTGTTTCCAATATAGTTTTGCTAGTTATTGCAATACTGTAACACCAAAATTTGTACAGTACCCTCAAAATAACTTATTTGTCATGGTTTAAGACACACACACATATATGCGTTGTTGGTATCCTGAGACAATTATAAGTTGTGAGCAAATAGGAGCTCCAAGAAAATTAGAAAATAAAGGTAGAGATGATTAATTTATTAATAATGGCCATTCAAAAATAGTTGCGGGTGATGACATGGGCATTCTTGCATTGGTGAGATAACCAAAATGTGGTGTACTTAAAAAAACAATGTTGCTCAAACCACAGAAAATGGAGCTGGACTTATTAATTTCAATACAGAGGACACAGAGCTATGAGAAGAGCTAAGGCAGAAATGTATATATTCTTGACATTGCTTTTCAATCTGTACTCTACACTTGATCTTAGCCAAAAGGCCGAGAAGCTGCATGAAAATACAATACTCAGAATTAGATGAAACAAGGAAAGACACTTGTCTGATAAAGTTCCAACCTATAATGGTGTGACGCAAGGGTGTATATTAGCTCCATTGTTATTTAATTTCTATATCAACTCAATGGTAGCGGCACTCAGCCGTCCAGAGTTCCATCCCCCCAAACTAGCCAATAGACATATCACTTCTGTTATATGCAGATGATGCAGTCCTAAGTTCACAGACACCAATAGGACTAAAGAGAGCTTTACATGCTCTTGCACAATACTGTAAAGAGGAAATGCTACAGATAAATTACTCGAAGACCAAAGTTTTAGTGTTTGCTCAGAGGCCCAGGATCTATAAGTGGTTAACAGATGAGAATGAGATAGAACAAATTAAAGCTTATAAATATTTGGCCGTTGTTCTCCAATATAAAGGAAACCACAAGGTCCATGTTAACAATGTGGTACAAGCAGCACAAAAATCTAGCCTTGCTATACTAAAATTCTTCTATTCAAAGGGAGGTCAGTACATTCCAGCTGCACTAAGATTGTTTCAGGCCAAATCCCTTAGTCAGCTTTTGTATGGGGCACAATTGGGCCCCTATTATTCTTTTATCCAGTTAGAAATAGTTCAATCCAAATTTGTGAGGGCTATATTACAAGTTCCAAGAGGGGTATCCAATGCAGCCCTCAGGCTTGAAGTGGGCTACCTGAAGGTTGAAGCCAGAGCTTGGCTGGCTATTTTTAAGACCTCTGGGTAGTGTAGGCAGCATATAAATTAATTAAATAAAATAATTAAATAAATAAACTGGAGTGGAAAATCAAGCAGGTCTCTCACCAAACTGCAAATCTCAGGTTTCCATAGGACGGGACCAAGACCGTTAAAGTGGAATCAAAGTCCTTTAACTGTCTCATACACTCTTAAGTACCAGTTCTTAAAGTCCTATGGCAGGGTTGAATAACTTCAAAGGGCCTAGGGGCCATTTTTGTCCACATCTTTTGGACAATGGAGGGCTTCACCCTCTCCAACACTCTTAATCCCCTGAAACCCCAAGCTCTCAGAAATATCAGACAATTGCTTATCACATCTGTTGTTGTTGTTGTTGTTGTTGTTGTTAGTGTTAGTATTAGTATTAGTATTAGTAGTATAATCATCTGTACTCTCACACTGCAGCTCTCAATGTCCTCTACCATTCATTAGGCTGGGTTGGAGTGCTGAGGCCTGAAGTCCAAACGTCTTTCAAAGGTTATCTCTTGTTACAGAGCTTGAGAGAAGATAGTAGTTGGATCTTTGGTTATTCCAAATCACTGAAGTTGCATTGTTTGGGTCTCCCATGCATTTTAGAATGTCCTTGATTTAAAATGTTTGAAACTCTTTAAAACTGGCAATAACGTAGAGCCTAACAAATATTTTTAAAACACAGCAACAGAACAATGCCATCTATCTATGCCTCTAGTGTGTTGTTGGCCCATGCTATTTGCATTCTAGGGCTACTGTACCAAATGACCAGTAAGCCCCTTTGAACTCAGGGGGAATTAACTTTATGTAAATTTGTACAGTGTAGCCTACACGTGGATAATTGTTTATAAACTGAGAAAGATATTTCTTTAATTGAATATCAAATAGGTTCCATCCAACTCTCTCTTTCTCTCTCTCTCTCTCTCCCCCCCCGCCTTCCCCTATGGATTTACTGTACAGTATATATCTCATGTGTGAGGAGATACATCAATTGGAGCTGGTTACAATATGGACACACAGTTCCTGTTGCAACAAATTAGCAAGAAATAGTCTTGTATTACCTTAAAATGCACAAGATCCTATGGATCATGAAACGTTGGTATTCTTCAAGGCCCCTTGCTAATTTGGATGTCAAGACAAATAGTATCATGACTACAGAAGAACTACACAACTTTAGCACTGACAATTAAAGTGAAATAGTTACGAGATTTTGTCTACCTTGCTTCATTCATCAATACAAATGGAAACTGCAGTCAAAAAAATCAGATGGCTGAGACTAAGAAGGGCAGCAATGAAGGAATTAGGAAAGGTAAGCAAGTGTAAGGATGAGTCACTGAAGACAAAGACCAAGATCATCCTGTATTTCCAAACACCAAGTATAGGTGTGAAAGCTGGACAGTTAAAAAAGCTGAGAGGAAAAAAAATAATTTGTTGGAAATATAGTGCTAGAAGACAGCTTTGTAGATATTCTGGACTGTCAGAAACACAAACAAGTGGGTTCTAGAGTAAATCAAGCCTAAACTACTATATCTCTGTAGGCAAAAATGTTGAAATTGAGGCTGTCCTACTTTGGGCACATAATGAGAAGGCAGAATTCTCCAGAAAAAACAGTAATGCTGGGAAAGGTGGAAAACCTGATGGCATATAACAACAGCACGAACCTGTGAAACCAAGGAACCAAACCAAGTCCATAACGTTGCTTGCAACAGCCCCTCTCCCATCCTGCAAGGCTGTCTTAGCAACCAGAAAAGTAGAAGTTGCAGCCATCCAAAAACTGGGTTACAATTGTTCTCGACCCTCACCACTAATCCTTACAGACTTGAGTTTTCAGGAGCTGGGCAGGGCAGTTGTGAGCGGGGCATTTCGGAGCTCGCTCATTCATAGGGTCCCTATGAGTCAGAAGCAACCTGATGGCTTATAACAACAGCACGAACGTGCAAAACCAAGGAACCAAACTAAGTCCATAACGTTGCTTGCTACAGTCCCTCTCCCATCCTGCAAGGCTGTCTTAGCAACCAGAAAAGTAGAAGTTGCAGCCATCCAAAAACTGGGTTACAATTGTTCTCGACCCTCACCACTAATCCTACTAGCTAGGGCTCATGGGGCTTGCCCAACATCTGGATGGCGAACAAGAGACACAGCCTCGCCTATGGGAGCTACATGAACTCAATGATCAGAAAGCAGGGCCGGATCAGGTCTACACATAGGCACCAACTCTAGGAAAAGAAGGCTGTGAGAACAAACGAGATGGGGAAGGAAGAGGAGAACCCATTGGGGGCTTCTTGGTGGAAGGTTGATGTTAAAATAAGTATCTGAAAAAAAGGCGGGGGCGACTTTTCACAAAATAAAACGTACAGTATTCGTTGTTTAGGTGCCTAAAGACTCGCCCTTGGTTTTGATGGGACGGCTGGCCCGACTCCTCTTCAGAAAAATATAATGCACAAACCACCGAGAGATGAGACAATAGGCTCCTAGAACCCCTCTCTTCCCCCCCCCCGGGGGGAAAGGGACTAATGTCTGGCAGAAATGGGCACTGCCAGCCAGCCTCGCCCCTCTCCCCCTGCCTGCAATGGGAGCCCCCCCCCACATTCGTGTTCTGCAAAACAGTCTAAATACGGAGCGGGAGGGAAGGAGGGAAGGCCCGCCCCTTGCCTTTTGGCCCGTTCGTTCCTTTGCGCCTCGGCCTCAGCCGCTCGCCCGCTTCCCATGTGCTCTTGAAGGCAGCCCCTGGAGCGGCGGCGGCGGCGGCTCTTGCCGCCACTGGCGTCCAGCGCGCTCGGGCGGAGCCCAGGCAGGGCGAAGCGGAGGGGTTGTGGCGGAGGAGGAGGGGTGAAGAGGAGAGGAAGGCCGCCTTCTCATTGACAACGCTCCACCCTGTGCAGCGCCGCGTTGCTTTCCTCCCTATCTCTGTCGCACACCCGCGCAGAGCGGAGAGAGGAGTGCAGGGAGGCCGGAGGAGGAGGAGGAGGAGGAGGAGGAGGCGGGGGAGTTGCCACCGCCGCCGCCCCCACCTCCACAGCAACAGCTGTACCTCCGCCAGCCAGCTCGCCCAGCCTGAGTGAGCAAAGACAGGAAGGCAGCAGCATGGCGGGGCTGCGCTACCCGTCGCAAAGCAGCTACTGCCGCGCAGCCACGGCCATGAACCTCCTGTTCGGCGTCTTTCAGGTCCTCTTGCCTTGTTTTCGCCCCGGAGAGGCGCACGGCCAAGGTAACCACTGAAGAAAGCTAGCGGGCGCGGGCTCTCCCCGGGAGAAGGGGGCTGTCCAGGCTCGTCAGGCTGGCGTCCGGAGGATTTGGGGTATGCGTGTTGTCTTCCGCGCGGGCGAGCTTGCCCAAGGGGGAAGGCTGAGGTAATCTCACCCCGGGCGCTCCCCAGCCCCGAGTCTGGAGGGCAGCCCGAGTCCTCCTTCCTCGCCCTCGTTCTTTGTGCCGTGGCTGCAGCAGTTGCTCTGTGAGGCTTTCGGCTGCTTCACCATTCCCAGCCCTGCTCAGACAGAGCCTGAGGCGAGTTCCCCTTCCTATCCTTTAAAAAAACAAACACAGCTGAGGTGGCTTCGTGGTTTGGTCCCTTCTCCTCC